GAGGGGCCTTGGGGTGCCGGGGTAGCTCTGCCGGCCTTGTGCTAGCGGCAGACAAATCTGTGGGGTTAGTGGAGTGTACCTAGAGTGGAAACCCCCCCTCCGAGGCCCATCCACTGTACAGCTTTCCATTGGGGAAGCAGCAGAAAACTACAGAGCCTTGTAGTTTTGTCTAATTTCTTTTTCAGCGCCGAGAAACTGCTATTTATGTTGGTGTCATTATCACCGAATAACTCCCAGAGGGAATGTCCTTATTCTACAGCAGAAAGGGCTTTTCCTGGCTTACCTTTAAGGCACTTCAAAGTAGCATCAGCTAATTGGTAAAGAGCGCGCTTGTCTCCAAATAAGAGTGTATAGATGTGTATAAGTATGTATTTTTTAATTCATTTTGATGTACTTTCCCCATTTATGGAAGCTATTAGCCTGAATAGGAAAAAAAATGAAGTCTCTTCATACTGCAGGTCTGGCTTGGGTTTGAATCTCTCTTGGTGTATTGCAAGCTCGCTGTTGGTTCATTAACCATTAGATAGCCAGGGGCAGCCAAGCACTCCTTGTTGCAATATCCCCTACCTCACCTGCCACTGTGGAAGAGCCTTGCAGTAAGTTATCATGGGATAATCTGTTTTCCCCCTTGTTGTCACATAGGCAGGATGAGAACGACGTCATGTGTGTAGGGCCAGCGCTTTCCAGTTCAAACCCCTGGTTGTGAAAACCAGGAGCTATCCTGCACTGGGCCATGGCTTTGTTCTGCCTGGCATCTGGGGAGAGTCCCTTTGTCAAAACCAGAAGACGGAGGGAACAACACATGCTTGGATTTTATTGTAACAGGGAGTCGGGGTGGGCTAGTGTGAATCTGGAGGCAAACAAGTGCTTTGGCACCTTTTCTGTAGTCATAGCCACCACTAAAGTGAGATCTGGGTGTGATTTGAGCTCTGGACTTTTCTATCCATTTTAAGACTTGTCATTATTAGCAGGAGAAAATCCATCCCTTCTGATATCTGTAAAAGTAACTAATCTCTGGGTTTTTTAGACTTCTTCGCCTAAATGTTCCCCTCATTTTAATAGATTGCTTCATCAGAAGATATTTATTTGTAAATAAAGTCCAGTTTTCCTGTTGAGATGGTGCTGTGGGAATGTTGAGATTTTTCTGAAGCCTGGATATGATGAAATGCAGCCAGAGGCATAGGAAGGGGAGCTGAGCCTGAGCCCTGGCCATTTAGGTTTACCGTACTGCTGTGGAGCACGCAAAATTTGTCCATCTTAAATATATTTACACCAGCGTAACAATGTAGGAGTAACACAGAAACGTGTGCTGCTAGTGTAATCATTTTCTGCTCACGGTTTTCCTCATGTTACTGCTTGGGGAAAATGTAACAATATTGTTTATAATTACTTTAATGTAGGCAGGGCTTGACTTTACCTTTTTGAATGACAGTAATTTGTTTTTCCTATGGGAATAAGTGGAAGTTGCTAGTGAAGTATAGAATAACACGTAGAATATATTTAAAGTATGTGTAGAGCTTGTCTTTAAATCAGGATTAGATATCTTTCTACAGGGTCGGTGGCAGTGAATTTTTGTGAACTTTAGGCCTTCAGTGTAGTTTTCTAGTGTAGATCTTGCTACAGGATCAGATTATTAGGAAATAACTCCTGTTTCTTGCAACATCTGAAATATCTTGCCACATCTACAGTAAGCAAATCATTATGGAACCAAAGAAATGGCAGTGTCTTACATATTTGTTCTTGGTTTCTGATACAAAAAGTTACAAGATCGGAAGCCCTAGCGTTTCCCACGTTAATTAGGACTTGCTAAAACATATCATGGTTTGCAGTCACATTTGATGACTCCTGTGATACTTGGCAGCTTTAAAACACGGCACTTGACGAAAGCCCAAGGCCTTTTGCTCCTGTCCTTTGTTTAAACAGAGGCAAAGGTGTCAATAAATACTGGCACGGCAGCTATGAAGATTGGATTTTATTGTTGTAAGGTTTAAAGGGAGGGCACTCTCACCTGTTCATACAACATAACGCATGGTTACTGAGTAAATTGATGAGGTTAGCACGGTTGAAATTCAATATTTCTGGTGAAGCGCCTTTCTAAAGAATTTTGAAGCTTTGGTGGGTTTTGATGGGATCTGTTTCTCTTCCAGTTCAATTCCTG